TTGTTCAGCTTTAGCAATCTTTAGAATAACAATAATACGAAAACATTGTAAAGCAGTTTTTTTCTGCTCAATATTAGTCAACTTATTCGAATTTTTTTTTTTTTTACAAAAACTATTAACGAATTTGTATGAATATTTATTTGGATTTCAAATGATAGAAAGAAATTTGGGATTTATAATTGGGACCTCATAAGGCACAAATTTTGAAAAAATTCAAAAAGTAAGTTTATTTCTTTGCACATTTAAGTCTTAAGCAGTGTAATTTTAAAGTAGTTTTTTTTACATCACTAATGCCTTTTGACCGTTTTTATTTTGATTGGCTGAACAGAGCTGCATTTTTTCAGGAGATCGACATTGACCTGGACGAGGTATTAGACCTGGAAACTATTCCTGAACGAAGAAGATACGTTCTGGTACGATTTTATTTTTGCACAAAATTTTTTTATTCTCAAAATTTTATGTTTAAACTAGCAAACAAAAACAAGATTAGTCTAATTGATGATGCTCAAGATTTTTCTTTTATGTTAAGCTACGATTAGCGGTAGCTTAAGGTCGAGTGATTTAGGGTAAGTGTAAGTGGCGGGAGGGACTGTTGCCGACAGAGTCTAATTTACGCGTATCATTTTGGAGTTATGGTACCACTTCCTTCGAAAAATAGGATCCAATTTCATCTTCTTTTTTCTTGTTCTTTCAGGATCTCATACAACGAACAAACTGTCCTGCAGAAGAAGATAAAATTCATAGATTTCTGGATGAAATGATGCGAAAACTGGATACACTTTAGAAATACGTTGCTGTTGTTAGGATACTGATACAGAAAAAAAAGAAAATAATAATAACAATAATAATGATAATAATAATGATTGCCTATCAGAAACACAGCTCAACAAAGGCATAGTCTAAAAAGATCTTCAATTCTTTTCTTTTTTTTATCTTTCTTTATTATTTTTTCACTGATTTAAGTACATCTTTTTTTCTGATAGTTTTATTTGTTCTATAGCTATGAAGAAGTTAGTTGACAATTCAAAAAAAAAAAAA